AATGATTTTCTAATCCAGAATTACTTTCACTCCAAAGTATCTTGTTACAAATTACATTTGGATTTTTCACCCCTGTCAAATACCAATTTACTCAAGAGTAAATAAAGTACTTTAAATACATATTTCAAATACAAGTAATACAGAAATACTGCTCCCTGTGTATCTCTGACTGTGCTTCCCAGCATGCATTGTATTTGGTTAAAAATGATCCAGGAAGCCTTCTTTTTTCTCATCTGAAAAAATGAGACTGTTACATGGTGGAGGTTTGTTGTGTGTCTTTTTATACAGTACATGTGTCTCAAATGAGTCACACGGTCTTCTCTCATAAAATCACAACGATGCAAGTCCTGACGAAGACTGGTGTACACTTCAAGCACTTTCCACACCCTTTAGGCATTAAAACAGCCATATTGTCATAGTTATATGGACAGATATGGTCTGAATGTGGCTGCCAACAATACAGCAAAAGCAGTGACAATTTGATACGGTAACCCATGAGGGATATAAACCCAACTGAAACTGGAAACCATCAAAAATCTAATCAACTGAAAGTAAAGTTATTTTAACTCAAAATTCTAAGTTGGACAAACTAGCTGCCTATTCGGTTAAAATGTATAACTTTTTTTTTGTTTGTTGCCTTGTAGTGTTGGGGGTTACGGCACACTAAAGGGAGCTGGATGTCATGGCTCAAATCCTTTCTGAGACCGGCTCGTTGTTCTTTTTTCTTTTTTGGGGGGATTTTACCTGCAAAATAATAACTTGGATATGGAGAAAACCTTTAATTGGCCCCCCAAAAAAAAGAGATTATATTACAATTTTTGGCAACAAACAAAAGATTTTAGTGCAAATCAGCTAGATAAACAATTATCTGAAAAACATTTCACATGAAAACATTTTCGAAAAAATAAATAGTAAAACAGCTTATTGAAATAATAATGCTTGGTGCAACATGCTCATACAGACAACTAAAATAGAAAAAACCTATTGCGATGTCTACTTCTTGTGGCTGACTGGTTCTCACTTTTCACATAAAGGGGAGTGGATTAAGGGCAGGCAGTTAAATTTGGGCACAACAATAAAAAATAAAAAAATAAAA